AATAACATACAGATTACGGGACGGTTGTATATAGTTCGTAACAAAACCATGATACTTATCTCGTCATCCACGTTCTCTTCTTTAGCTACACCGCTCCTGACGGCACTCCCGTGCACGTGGAGTTTGTGGCTGACGAGAACGGCTTCCAGCCCCAGGGCGCCCACCTGCCCGTGGCTCCCGAGTTCCCCCACCCGATCCCCGACTTCGTCCTCGAACAGATCGCCTTCGCCGCCGAGGAGGACGCTCGCAGGGCCAAGGAACCCTCCAACAGATACAGCGCCCCTTAGTTAGAATATCTTGCAGTGTGTAAATATTATGATGTTCCATTGTTGAAGATTTGCGTTCTCTTTCTGTTTATCCACACATTAGAATAAATAATACAATGTTACATATACTTTCACTTCCTAAGGAAAAGTCTCTTAGCATATTTATGATTGGTATTCCAAGAGAATCGGCCACTACACAGTAAAAAAAACAAATATTTACTTGCTTTCCTTTACGTGTTTAAATTATGAATGGTACAGACACAGGTATTTGTTTATCTGTTCCATATAAAAGCAAAATAACTGATATCTAAAATAATGTGGTTCTGTGTCAGTCTGCCATGAGCGTGTAATATAATGAGGCAACAGTGTTTACCTAAGAATAACATTAGATATCTTCTGGAAAAAAATAAGAGCGAGAGACGATTTATACAAAACTAAAGGAACAGATATATAAGAAATTGGTCATACACATATATGCATACATACAAACATGCATAAATGAATAGGTAAATATCCAGATGACACACATATTCACGCAAACACACACACACACATACGTATACATATATCTATAACCTCAAAAACTAAACCACTAAAATATCAGAGTTTCTGGATTTTAGCTTGTAATTCATAGTTTACATTTGGAGGTGTAAGTACAACTATGTTATATCCCCAGTTTTCAAATCATTAAGCGTAATCACTAGAATTACACTACCCTTTCTGACACTGTTTTTGAAAATAACATCAAATTCAGTGTCTCGAGAGAAAGTCATGCTTTTTTTCTTTTTTCTTTTTTTACTTAGCTATCTTATATATAGTTGGTTTTATGACAAAAAGTGAGAAGCACAACTATTTACGAAAACAGGTCATATGCCCACTTTTCTCCTAGCGTGACGGTTTCCTCTTAGCGTGAATTCCCCGAGAGAAGAACAAAGTTGCGTTTTTGTCACATCCACAGTTCTTCTGTTTACTTATATGTTACCTTCGTAATCTTTCACTGGAAATTAGCTTCTTTTCTCAGTCAAGAAGATCAGCTTGTTTGCAAGTAACAACGGTATTTAATTGACATAGACACTGATGTATAACTCTCTGACTAATCAGCAAACAGGCAATCGATGATGTAGATTACTTAATCATTCAGAGAATGTTACTTGAATGTCTAAATAGTACAGAACCTGTCATTGATACTGACCTTGTGTGGCAACAGGAGTTTCAAGACAACATTTCCCTCGAGTATGTCACCAGGGTCAACTTTGTTATTGCAACTTGTTATCAGCTGATCCGTGGGGTACTGGAAGCCGCTGAGTTGGTCCTGTTCTTAGAGTTACCACTAGAAATTCCAGTTGTCAATGCGATATTTTTCTGTAAAGAAATAAAGAAAATTAGTACTTTAACAACCAAACTGTATTGCAATAGAAGTAAAAAACAGAAAGAAAGAAAAGAAAAGAAAGAAAGAAAGAAAGAAAGAAAGAAAGAAAGAAAGAAAGAAAGAAAGAAAGAAAGAAAGAAAGAAAGAAAGAAAAAAAAAACACTGGCAAAAAATTACACAAATGTAAAATAAAGAAACAGAGAAAGAAAGGTCTCGGGGATACCTCATAAAGGAATATACCTCTATCTCGCGGTGTGGCGTGGGTATATGTATATGTATGTAATATGCATATTTATACAGAAATATATGTGTGTTTGGGTATACACAGACATGCACATATAGATTTAAAATTTGATATATTTGTGGATACAGGCATATATTAATATACAGTACATGCACATACATACGCGCGCACACATACACAGACATCTATGCTCATATATATATATATATATATATATATATATATATATATATATATATATATATATATATATATATAATATATATACATACATATGTATATATAAATAGACATAGATAGGCATACATGGATATGAACACATACATGCGTGCATGTGGATTTATTCAGGCATATCTGCAATGAACATATATTTCTAATTAACTCCAATGAATTAAACAACTTTTGTCATACCGCACTTGGACCTGAACTAAAAGGACAACATAATTGGTAAATGGCAACTTCTGCATCTCTGGCGAAGATAAATACCCGCATTGAGTCTAGTGAGAAGCAGATCAGTCGCACAGTCTGTAACATGAAATTTGTAAGTATTTTCAAGTCGGCCATTGCTGAATGAACCGTTACTGCTTCTGAAAATGATGAATTCTTCGGATGATACTGAGA